TAGGATGATGAGGGAACATTTTGAATATTAAAATTAATAACTTCATTAAATGAACCATGCCCTAATTGGAAGTTCAATGAATTAGAACACTTTTAGATTTTTATTATTATTAATTTTATGAAATAATAAAATAAATAAACGTTTTTTTTTTTTAAATTTTTGGGTTTAAGTGGAACTACATATTCTAGTTGAGTTAACTGTTGATAGTGCAAATTTGACTATACCTTTTTTTTWAGTCCAAAAAAGCAAAATCTGCTTTTTCTACACAAGATCTTAAAAATTGATTTGTTTGGATTTGCTTTTTTAATTACTTTTCTATAAAGATTTAGCTTTTTTAATTTATGTTTTGAAATAATTYCATGTGCTTTACCTTTTTTTCTTTTCTTTTTARAGTTGATTCATTAGGATTTAAATTGATATCRTTGAAATGCATTGTTTTGCTATGTTTTAGTTAATGCTTGCTTCTTTCCTTTTTTTTTTTGGTTCATTTCTTAGATTTTTATTTTCAGATAATATGTGGAAATTTATGAAATTTTGTGTTTATTTTATTTTTGCCTCTAAACTTACAAAATTCTGTTTTGGTCTTGGAAGTTTGCATAAAAAATTACTTTTAGATATGCCTTTTAATTCTTTTATACATCTATTATTTAATGGAAAATATATATAAATATCTTTTTGTTTATTTATTTGATGAACAAATATGTCACATTTAAGAAGACAAACAGTTAGATTTCATAACATATTTTAGACCTCTCAAAATTAATAGAATAGAGTAAAATAAAATATTCAAAAGTTTAGAAATCCAAATGAAATTAGTAGGAAAGTTTAGATGTAAATATAGCATTTGAAAAAAAAAATTATCATTTTTTCTTTAAAAAAACATTTTTAAAATTATGGGGTGCAATTTTTTATTTTTGAAAAAAAAAGCTTTAGAAATAGTTTGTCTCATTAACATCTCGACTATAATCCATAGTAAATCAAATGGGTTTTTTTTTTTTAATTTCTTTACATGGTTTCAATTCAATTGAATTATTTACTATGGTCTTCTTAAGGGAAAAAAATCGAATTAAAAGAACGAAAATTATGAAGTACAAACCTAATTCATAAAAATTCCAYCACCATAATCTTAGAGGTTAGAATCGAAAAAAAACGTCTCCTAAAAGAAAGATATATTTATACCTGTTATGGATCGTAAATTCGAATTTCCTACTTTACTTATAATGAAATAGTAGAAAAACAACTATTTTGGTATACGGTAATGAAATGAAAGAGAATGAATTTCAAAAGATCTCTATTTTATTRTAGCCACCAAAAATAAGCCTACAAAAATAAGCCTATAGAAAGAATTAACTTTACATATAAGAATTAATTTTAATTTTAGTATAAAATAATTAATTAAAACAGTTGTTAATAAATTCAACTTAACTCTATACAATTACTTAATTATAGAAAACTATTATTGGTTTTGTAGAATAAAAAAAAGTACAARTTTAGATCATAGTTTATGAATTATATTAGAGGCTATAAAAAATGAAGTTCTTATCTTTATTTTAAGTGTGATTTAAACCTTCTTCTAAACGGTTTAAACTTAATTTATTTTAATTTAAACTTTTTTTTAAACGTTTTAAACTGAGTTTAGTTTGGTCTAAACATTTTTTTAAYGGTTTAAATTTAATTTACTCACACATATTAATTAATTTATTACTTACCTAAAGTCGAATGTTTGAATCTCCTTAGTTTATTGAACCAAAAAATATTTAAATATATATTAAATAATTAATAAAAACAAATTAAATATAAAATAATTAAAATAACTTTTTTAATATAAAACTGTAACTAAAATAAAATATTAAAATCAAGACTTAAAAGTAAGAGGAATTGAAGAAAAGCAATAAACAAAACATTAGTAACCTTCTTTATTGATATTAACCAATGAAATTTTCTCCATTTTAATTCCCGATTTTTCAAAACGTTCATTTTTATGCTTGTACTTTCAAAATTGATTGCTTTGGTATTTTCTTAATCTCACTTTCTAATCAAAATTTATGCACAATAGGACGCTCAATAAAACTTTTAAAATATTATCATAATTTTATATTAAAGAGTTTTCATCGTAGGTAGAACATGTTAGTATTTTGAAAACAGAAACCAAAATAGTTGCTTTGTTAAAAGTATAATRACAAAAATAAATATCTTGAAACTACAACAATCGAAATAAACAAAAATAACAAATACCTCCAACCATATAAACGTTGAAAATACCCGAATCAAAATAGAATATTGTTTTTCTTTCTTTATGAGTTCAACCATTACAAAAAGAGATCGAATCATCAACATTTGAAACGGTAATGAATGTCAAATGTCTAAATGAATTGATATATATATATATAGATACATACATATATGATATGTTCTTGAAAAAAGAAAGAAAGAAAGAAGAAGAAGAGTGTAGGTGAGGGGTGGGGGTGGGGCCCACAGCATTATGTTGTGTCCAAAGTTTTTGGGTTGGAGTGAGTGTCCATTATTACCAGAAGCTTGAAGTTGCTGTCTCCAACTCCAATGCCAATTCCAATTCCAATCACATATTTCTACCAAACAAACACAAAACCCCATTCATTTTGGACTTTTTTCTCCACTAAAATAAAAAGATTTAAATATTATTTTCTTCACTTTCACCATTTTGCAAAATTTCAATGTATTTTCTATTATCAAAATACAAATCTTTTAATACAAAATTACGGCGGCATTTTAAGAAATTTATTAGATGTAATGTCACAGACAACTAAAATTATGATGTAGGGAAGTGAGATTGAAAAAATGAAGTGACCAAAATCGTCATTTTAAAAAAATAGAGTGACTAAAATAAACGTTTTGAAAGTAGAAAAACTAGTTGAAATTATAGAGATCAAAATAGACGTTTTGGAGGTACAACGACCAAAATGAATCCAAAGTAAAAGTAGAGCTATCCAAATATATTTAAAAATAATAAAATAATTAGTTTGACTCTCCAATAATACTATAATTACAAAACCCTAATACCCTATGTGATAATAATTTCCACTTTTAATTTTTCTATTTTTAAAACTTGAACTACCCTTTTCTTTCCTCTCTGAATTTTGTGAGATTTTTTTTAAATGTTTTTAAAATTAAAGAATCAAAATCAAAATTATTATCACATAGGAGGAGCCCTTAATTGGCATTACACTTGGGAATTTTGGAACAATTTAATACTTGTATTTATATTTTTAACATACTTTACCATTGAAAACAATTTAATCTCTATATTTTTAACGAATTAAAGATTGACTATTTGACATTGAAAACTATTTTGTTCTAATAAATGCATACCAATTAAATTAAAAAGAAAAAAACATACGAATGAATAGATAACTGAATCACCTCTTACTTAATTGAGGTATACAATAGTGCCCATCGATTATCAAGTTAGATTTTTGTTGACTTTTGAACTTTTAATACACAAAACCTTCCGATTCTAAAAATTGTGAAGAGCAAATTAAAAGAAAGTCATAGAACTTTTATTTTGAATTTACAACAAAAACTATGGTACCAAATGACTAGCTTCCTCTTTTCCTTCTCAACTCCGCTTTCAATAGCCAAGAACGCTCAATAATATTTAATCAAAGGATAGAAACAATGACGAAACTCTAAAAAACCATAACCATCAAACAAAACCAACAATAAAACATAATAATATTTATTATTTAGGTGGTTACAAGTAGGTACGTCCTACTTACCATCATTAAAAATTTGACAGCTATTTACTTTTTTTCCCTTTCTTCCCTTGTGCATTATCTCTTGACTTAGGTGCTGACCTCAGTACCTATCTTAAATTTATCTTGAACTAATCTATTATTAAATTGTTGACAAATAAGAAAGGAAAATGCAAAAACAGAGAAATTTTTATTTAAAAAACAATAAACCGYCAATTTTTTCCTATATATTGTCCTTTTTATCTCTCATAGTTATTAATTTTTCTAATGAGGGATGTCCATTTACACGTAAGCACCTAAATATCATTCGAATGCAAAGGCTAAAAACGTAATTTAACCGAAAACGACAATGGAAACTAGAGGAGAAAGAGTGATATGGAGAAACAGAGCATAGCCGACATGGAAGGATGGAAGAGAGGGGATTGAAGTTGGAAGGAGTCCCCACAGGGGAAGGCCACCATTACCAAACAGACAACAAACCAAAGGGATCTCACAATTATTAACCATCTCTAATGCTTCTCTGCAACTTGTCTTGTCTCTTTCCCAACCCCTAACAACAGATAAGCCTTCAATATACCCCAGCTTGCATTGCATTCATCCCCCGTCACGCTTTCATCTCGATTTTGTTTTCACCGACCCTTGTTTGCTTGCTACGAACATGGTTTTGTTTAAGAAATGCTTTTTCTAGTGTGTGTGTGGCTGTGGCGGTGGCGGGAGAGTTGGAGAGAATGAGATAATCTGAATCAGGTGATTTTGAAAAAATGTCAAASTTTCAGTGATTTATTGGACACAAGATTGAAAGTTTATAGATCTTAGATAATTTTAAAGTTTATGGACCTATTAAACACAAAATGAAGTTCCAAGAATTAGGTATTTATAAAGTTTAAGCACTTATTAGACACAACTTTAAAAAATTTAAGCTTGTAAGTATATAGCTTGTAAGTATATATGCTCACAAGCGTTATCTAAAACTGAACTGTCAAATGAATGGTACAATGTTCTTTTCTTCTTTTACTTTATAACTTTTAGATTTCGGCTAGGATATGAAGAACGCGTATGAAAGGTGGACAACGACACAACGTGCAAGTAAACAAGTCTAACTTCTCAATGAACAACACGACAAAGACTAAAGATCGTTATCAGACGAGCGCTTGCTTAGCTGTCGGGTTTGATAAGCCAACCAAGCCAACATGGATTGAACCCTCCAACCAACTCTTCTGCAATCACTCAAATGAAAATGAAAGAGAGAAAGAAGTTGCAAAAAAGTTATTCATATAGACAACCATTTGGATATCATATCATATAATCAACAAACAGAGCGAAGTAGAAGTAGAAGTTCATAGGAAGGATCCTCTCCACTTATTTATCAGTCTATTGGAGAAACTTAGACTTACATTACAAGATGACCTTGAAAAGATATTCTACAAAGCTAACGACATACATTGTCCATCCATTTGTGAGAATAAAAAGGATGTAACACCAAACTTTTTTTTTTTTTTTTGATTCTTCAGACAACACAGTTTCACCAAGTTAGGTAAATCCCAAAAGGAAACTTCAACTTGTTCCTAGTAAAAGAAAAGGCAAACCCCATAAGAGAGAGAGAATAGAGATTCAAACTGTAAAAAGAGCTGGCTAGCTGCTGCTGCTGCTTTTGGCGTAAGGAGTACGTCGACAGAGCGTCGGAGTGAGAGCAGCTTTTACTGATACCATAACGGAATGTCCTGCTGTTTCGATAGTGTATCGATGGCTGCTGCGCCAGGCACTTCTTCTTTGTAGTCRAAGGTTGATAAATCGAATGGAGAGCCGAACATCAAGTGGAAGTTGTTGTTGTTGTTGTGGTTGTGGTTGTGCTGGTGGTGGTTGTTTTCGAAAGGCGTATTCATTGGCTTGAACCGGTCAAATTGGCCTTCGTCTCTTGGGAACATCGGATGGCTGCTCGAAACGTTTGATCCTTCGAAGAAGTTTCCTTCCATCATTATACCTTGATTGCGGAARTATTCGTCTTGTTGAGGTTGGATCTTCAACTGAGGAAGGTTTTGATTCTCTGCGATGGCAGCGTTAACGGTGTTTACGTTGTTCTTGTTGCCCTGCACGTTGGTGTCGTAGATCGACATGAGCTCACTGATCAGCTTTTGCCCATCTTCTGGAACTCCTAAGCTGGACAAGTCGAAGGAAGATGGAACTGAGCTGACCGGAGCTGGAGCTGGCTTGGGCGGGGCGAACGATTGAGGGAAGATAACTGGTTTTACTTCATTGACATGAAAGTTTGAACCACTGAACTCTGAAGAAGTTCTATATGGGCAGGTCAACTGATGATTGTCTCGGGAATTCCGGTCATTAAACCCGAGACGGAGTTCGCTATAAGGACACTGGAGGAACTCGCAAGTATAGATCTTCTGATCCATCATCATATTCAGATCGCTGGTCGGTTTCCTCTTTCGCATAAAATCCAAGTTTGTGGGAGCCTCCCCTTTGATTGGATAAGGTGGTTGTCGAATCTGCACCCGGTCTCTCATCCTCTCCATTCCCAAGTTGAATGAGCTGATGTTATCGGGTTTACGATCTTGAACATCAAAGTTCGGTTCCTCTTCAGCACCGTCTACGTCGTACTCGCTGCAGTCGTTAATGACCATCGATCCACTTCCCCCACCGGACGACAAAGGCGGGCAAGAGTCGGGATAAAGCTCCCKAGCCAAGACCTCCTCCTGGTTGATAATAGCAAGCCAAGTAGCACTCTCCTTGGCAGTCATCTTGTCCTGCAGACACTTCGACTGCCTCACAAGCTTGCGGATCTTGGCTATATCAGGGGACATATGCTTGATGACTGCAGTCAAAACGCCGACTTTCCACGCCTTCTTCAGGTCATGAGGCTTCTTGTAAGGTGGAGGACCTTGCTCCTTCGGCAAGCCAAGCTGAGGCCACCATTCCTCAACTCCGGTAGGCCACCACGGCGGAGGAACGCCTTTCTCCAATGGAAAYCTTCTTTGAGGAGGGTCACAGTGCTGCATCAGAGCTGATAAAAGAGATCCTAGCGTGGTGTCCTGAAGTTCCTGCAAGGTGTGAGGGGTTGGACCGATCGAATTACAACCGTCGTTTCTTCCTGGAATTGCGTTGTCCGCTTGGTACTTGGCTATGGCAGCTGGTCCATTTCGATCGAATCTGACCTTGTCCTTCCACCATTCTCGAAGATTATCCGATGCTCCGGTTACTGGTTTTCCCTTCTCTGGAATTATTCCATATACAAAGCCTTGAGCTTTACAAACTTCCATCATCTTCAACATGTACTTCAAGATTCCGTCCTGTGCTCTTGACATCTTCTTCCTCCTGGCCTGTTCTTGAGACTGTCGTTGCTTCGCGATATCGATCCCTTCCTTACCCTTGCTCTGCTCTTTGAGGCGTTTGAGACGCATCTTGTACCTCCACATCCTCCTCTCGAGTTCATCGGCATCGATCTCTTCATCAGAATAATCGTCTTCCATCGCAGCATCGGGATCGGTTGGTGGAGCTATGGCATCTCCTTCCACAATTGGAGCGCAAAGGAAATCCATATCATCACAAAATCCCATCTCATTGAACATCATCATCATTCCCCCAAAAGGATCAGCAGATATTCGCCAAACTCAGACGACGAATCTCGGGTGAGATTGAACAAACAGATTTAAACCGAAAAACGAACCTTGATCTGCTGCTGCCTTACAGCCTGGTACCAGCGATGCTACTGAAATCACTAAATTCACAGTGCTTCCTCACCTGTATGCATAAATTTCAAGGCAAAAAACCCGACGTCAGACTCGAAATCAGTCACTAAAACGTATTTATTCCAAATCGAAAAGATCGAAACTGCGAATTAATACATAAACTTAAGAACACCAAAAGACGTCTCTCTTCCAAAATTCCCTCAAACTAYCAGAAAAGAAAGAAAGAAAAGAAAAAGTCTTCTCCTCAACTCCTCAATCAAACCAACCACCATGGGAATTCATTTTTTTCCCTCTAAATTTCCTTATTACTTGCAAAATTAAACCAAACAAGATAGATCAAGCAGGGGAAAAAAAGGCAAGTTCAAGTTCTTAAAGCTTTTCTTCAATCTGTCCTGTCCAGATCAAGTTCAAGAACATCAACTGAGTTGAGAAACTAAATTCAGAGTCAAAACTCAAAAGTAGAGCAATAAATACGACATCTGAATCCATAAATCAAGACCCAAATCTCATCACCAACCTGAAAACAAACAGAGGACTTCAAAAGTAAGAACAACACAATCGATCTAAAAACACACACACAGAATCAAAATTCATCAGAATAATCAAACAGATTCAGATCTACAAACCAAACCCAACTCACAGAGCCAACCCATCAGAGCAACAAATCACCACAGCAGAAGAATCATCAAATTACTCAATCAAAAAGGGGTAATCAAGAAAATGAACAAAAACCAACCTGAAGAAGAACAAAAATAAGAAGAAAACGAAGAAGAAGGGGAAAGGGGGGAGAGAGAAAATTTGGGTTCTCAGCCCAGAAAGGAAGAGAAGTCAATCCCGGAAGGAAGAAACCCAGAAGGCAAAGTTTTAGAGAGAGAAAGGGAAAGGATCATATAATCTAATCCAATAAGAAAAAGTTTGGGGAGGGTTTCATTTCATGTGAGATAAAAAGATGAGTCGGTCCCTTGGTGAATGTGAAAGGTGAGAGAGAAGAGGGTATTGGGGAAAAATGGCGATGGTGGGGACTAAGCAAAATTGGCTAAAACCCCACAAATTCCTGAGGAGAGAGAGAGAGAGAAAGAGAAAGCGTTTCGCTTCCATTTATACAGGTAAAACCTCTGCGTCTTTCACAGCAATTGGAAGTGAGAAGGAAGATTAACAACTTGAGATGACAAAAAAAACGTCAAAACTTATGAATTTAGTCCTTTAAATTCTGAATTTAAACTCTCAATTATTTCTCCATTTCAAAAAAGTTCACATATTTACCTTAAATTTTGAATTATACTTCTATTTAATTTCCTTAAAAGAGGAAGGTTAGAACTTGCGATAACTAAAAAGATGAATGTTAGAATTTGCGATTTTAAGTTGTCAGTGTCTCGACAAAYTATGATYTAAAACGAGTCTTGTGATATTCATAAAAATGACAAATTTTTACTTTTTTACTCTTTTAGGGAGTCCATTAAAAGATAAATCGTTTAAAAAATAAAATTTCAATTTAAGATGTATTAACGAGGTCGCTACGTCATTAGTACAATTGACGACATGTTTGCTTGACTTTATTTTCTTGTCKTTTTTTTAATACAATAAATATGAGGTGAGAGATTGTACGTTGGATCTTAAATAAAMCAGTTGATGTCTTATTCACCCACCTAAATTTGAATTGGCGAGTTGTCGTTTAGTTAACACGATGTTAATTGATAGCAAACGACAAAATTTATTTTTAATTCAACAACATATGGGAGCAAAAATTCAAACTTTCGATTTTTTATCAATATAGAACATCTCTTAACTAGTTGATTTATACAAACCACCACAAAAGTTAAATACAAGTATTGATTCAAAATCGACAAAAAATAAATGAAAAATTTGAAAATTTAGAGACTAAACAGACACAAAATTTAAAGTCGGGAATTTAAATATATGAATAATGGAATAAACTAATTAAAGAGCGTTTTTTTTTAATTAAAGAAATAGAGAATTTATGACAAATGGGGAAGTTGTGGGGACGGCGTCTCCTCGTCCGCTTCTAAAGACACAGTGTCCCACCATTTGGGGGGTGGCATTTATTTGTTTATTTATTTCTCATGGAATTATCCTTATGGAATTTTATTATTTAACTAAATTAAAWTTTACATTTTTCTTCCATTTTATTATTACTACTTTTTTTTTTGGAATATTCTCTTTCTTTCCCCAATTAATTTAATTTAATTAATTGTATATATCCATGTTTCTTTTTGGAGACCAATTATGTGTACCCATGTTACTATGTATGTTTTATTCTAAGTATGTCATTTAATTAATCAAATAATGTTAAAGCTTTGTTTAGTACAGTAAATATAAAATCCGAAGGGCAAYAAGTATATGATCGTGCTTACATCATCATCATCATGTTACGAGCCAAAGATGTACGTTKTATTATTAAAGTTAAATTTTGTATTAGTAAGGAAGATCGGAYGAGGTATTTTATAACTTACCATATTAAAAATTTCATAACCCGACTAATGAGAGCAAGTTTAATAAGATTTTTACGCAAATCTTATAGAGATAATTAATGAAAATGTTTTATAAGCACATCTATTCTTGGAATACATAATTGTGTGTAATAATTCAATTTTAAAAACCAGCGAGTTAAATCCACAAATATCCTAAAGTACAAGGCCGTGATTTAAACATCATTCTTTCAATACAATGTAAAAAAAAAAATCATCTGGATATTACTCAGCGGGTTAAGATATCTATGTGTGATCAGAAAGTTTGAGTTTCCAGCAAATCTTTGACTCCTCGAATAGGATTTCACACATGGCGAATCTTTCAATCGAATCTCAATCCTATATATTGTATTTTAGAAGAAAAGAAAAAGAAAAGAGGGAGATAGAATATTAGAATTTAATTGAAGAAAAAAAGAGAGTAATGAGAATAGTAATGTCACTTAAGGTGAATATAAAGTGTGAAGTGAAAAGATGTGTCTTTAAAACATAAGAGAATGAGAATAATTTTGTTTATGGGATTACAAGAGGTCCTCAAATGAAGCATCTCCATAGCTTAAAAGTACTTTTCATTTTGGCATCTACRAGGGCTTTTTACTTATTTTAACCTATAGTTCTTTCTCTTATCATAAATCCGCCTTTAATTAATGTCACTAAACGTTAGATTAATTAAATCTTGATAATAAAAACTCAATGTAAATATATARGATAACTTAATTGGTTAAGACATATATCATCGATTAAAAATTGGAAATTTGAATCAGAAAAACTAAAATGGAAAGTTATAAAAGAAAGTAAAAATTTAAAAATAACATACACATTAGAGACGAATGTATATATTATTTTTTAATTTTATGGTAAAATATACTTTTGATCTTGAGGTTAATTTGAGTTGGGTCATCCATAGAGTGTCAAAAGAGACATTTTAATCTACGAGATTTATAAAATGATTCTAAATAGCCYCTAAACTCATTTGACTGTTAGTTTAACTAATATAAAAATAAAATGATAGTTTATTTGTTGATTAGACTATATTTACATGGTAAAATATATTAATTTTATATTCTTTTTGTTGATTTGGATTGTGAGGTGGCATTTCTTCCCTATTCATCGAAAAATTTGTAGTCTTTGTTCACGATATGATTTTGACTTTATAAATGATTCTTTAATATTGTCGGTGGACGCACGTCATTTTTAATATGGTGCTAATTACGTGATAAGTAGCAGTGAATTAAAAAAATATACATTCTCCAGTAGCATCAGAAATTTTCTCATCTTCCTCCTCTTTCCTTCTTCCACTATCATCCTACCTTCTCGGACAACCTTCGTCGATGCTGATGTTATTGTCTTCCTTCTATCTCGCCGCTGACTCCACCCATAATTGACTCGCGTGCTATCTTTTATGCTAGCATGAGAGGTTCCATACTAGCTAGAACGAAAGGAGCTTCTCTCTTCACCATTCCATGAAAAGGTGTGATCTGGGACAAGGGAGAGCCTCTTCGTTCCAAATCGAATGGAGGAGGCTCCCCTTTATTCCAAATTTGACTAGAACGAAGGTCTAGAAGTTGGCAGCTGAGGCAATGCTGGGTGTCAGATGGCAACAACCCGCAGTAATGAGGGAGAGAAGGACCACCGCACATGCATGGGCAAAGGTTAACGAGGGAGGGAGAAAGATAAAAGAAGGAAAAATGAGGTGGAATGGGAAAGAAATGTCACCTCATAGTCCAAACCAAAATAATAATAATAATAATAATAAAAAATCATAGTCTAATCAACAAATAATTGCCAAGTCACTTTTTCGTAAGTGGTCAAATGAGTCGAAGGACTATTTATAACTATTTTCCAAATTTCAAAGACTAAATTATCTTTTTTAAACATCGAGATTAAATAGATACTTAATCCAAAACTTCAAACACAAAAAATGTTTTTTATCTTCATAAATTTTATATGTATTCAACACAACAATAACAACAAGGAAAATATATTTTTGACGTGTTGATCTTCCTTGTTATCATCATTAATATTGTTTTTGTGTTAGCCAAAGAAAATCAATATTCATAAATTCTTATCATTTGAACTTGTTAAAGACAAGTTCATCCAAAAGATCTAATATAACGGAGATAATTGTCCTCCCTCATGTACCACATATCACTRCATTTCCTARTCAATGTGGAACTTTATTTGCACTGCACTATTTGTTAACGTTGATAATTTTATTATTAGAAAAGAAATGTGGGTATATTTGAAAATAGAAAATTTTAAATACATAAAAAAAAAAGTTAAAATGCATGGAAGTTTGGTCCACTGGCTTGTGAAACAGTCCAATTTTCTTGAGTATCTTATTCTAAAATAACTATATATTATTATTATTATTATGTTGTTGTTGTTTTCTTTTGAAAGATGTGAAATGTTTCTCCCACTTGAAAATGTGCCACGTAGCTTGTATTTTGTGCAAATTAATTTTATACTTTAAAGAATAATGTTTTAACCATTTTTTTTTGAAAAATAGTTAAAAATATTATATATCAGGGAGTTATTAGTTATTTATTGTAAAGAAAAGTTAACTTGACATTTTCCTCAAAAAAAAAAAAGTTAACTTGACATTTCTTCCATTAATTTTATGACTAGACAATAAATTTATTAATTAAAATAAATCTATCGGATTTATGTAAAAATAACTAAAACAATTAAATATATAATGGATTAAACATGCTTATCGATTTTAATTTGCTTTAACTMGTTTTAAGTGAACTAGTATAGCTAAATTTTGATTAATAAAATTGTCATTCATATCTATATAAAAGTATCATAAAACTAATGTTTTTTCATTATTGTATAGAGATCTSCRTATAACGGTAATTGACATATKCTTCCAACCGAGTTTGAATCMTCTTCCCAACATGTTGTACTAAAAATAATATATATTAATTATTGATAATTTATAAAAAAGTTAGACAGAGATAGAGAAAAAAATAAGTAAGGCGGCTGAGGAAGGTATGGAACATGAGTCACGACTGATTCTAGTAGTTCGACTCGACCTTCACAGAGGTTCGAGCAATAACTCCTCTCATGTATGAGTCATTACGTTGATTCATCACTGTTGGACATGTTGTATATCGACATGTGGTTAGTGAGAAATAATCTCCAACAATATTTTTTAAACAATAAAAACATAAATAAAAATGACACTTCGAATCTTGCRTATTAAAAGGTTAGGATTTATCATTATTTTTTCTTAAATTAACAATTGTGCAGCTATGGATTGAACATCGATCTTTGAAATGATATTGAGTGTCTGAGTTAGTTTGCATCGACAAATTTGATTGGCTAATAGTTACATAATGTAARGTAAAGTTTTTTTTTTGGTCATTAATTARTTAGATAAGTTGATAGTTACATGTAGAGAAACTTTTTGTTATTTGTCGTTTCTTGTAATTATTAACTTTGGATATGTACATGAGATATGTGATTACTTTGTTTTTCACATTTTTTTCACCATATTCTAAGTTTATGCATATAATTGTGGRCAAAATCAAACGTTCCATTTAATAACGATTTTATTATTAATTTTATAGTGTTAAAATTCATAAAAACCACTTATATATTTTTAAACATCAAAATTGTAAAAAAAAACAAATTATACGCTAGTGAAAACGTATAATTTTTTAAAATAAAAAATTATGAAAAGAGTTATTATAACTCTCTTGAATAACCGTTTTCTTTTTAGTTTTTCATTTTTTAAAATTATGTTAGTTCTCGCTCACCAGCATTTTTCCAAGTATTTTTAACTTTTTTKAAGAYACACCACTTCAACTCTGAGCTAAATTTCAAAAACAAAAATATTTTTAATATTTTTTAGATTTTAAAATTTAACTTATATTAAAWWTTTTTTAAATAGATGCAATACAAAGAAATATAAAGGTGAAGGTAGTATTTACCAACATAATTTTCAAAAATCAAAAATCAAAAAACAAAATCGTYATCAGTGAGACCTAAATATTTAAAATCTATAGRTCCAAAAACTACGTACCATACTTATTAAACTAAAAAAATAAATATATTTTGAAATCCAAGTATTTTATATAATATGATATATAGTATTTTATTGGTCGATGTTGAGTTTATAATTTTCTCAGATTTTCTTGGGTGATATTATTAAACCTCGATAGCAGGTCACTCGTTTAGTCGAAGATATATTTTMATCAGTTGATCATGATGTATTATTTTTCACGTGAGATTGGACCTATAACACTTTAGTATTAATTACAAAATAATAAAACAAAATTTTACGTTGTATAAATTGACGTATACWTAGCATATCAATAAATGCAATTGTATATAGTTTGGATCTATTATCAACATCTAATCAAATCATGTGCAACATAAAAAGAAGGGTTTATTATGTATTATTTTAGTTCACCAATATTTCGTTAATGATTTAACTTGTTGGCAGCTAACACGAGCATAGTATAGCGGTAATCGACATCTAAAAAATTCAAACTTCTATACCCACAATTTGTTTTATAAAAAAATATTTAACATTACACGCTTAAATGTTTTAATCAAAAGATATATATGAAACCSAACTAATACGAGAAAGTTAAAAAGGTTTATAACAATTAAAGAAAAAACTACCACCAATCATTGATGTTTTACATTAGGCATTTATCACAAAAATATAAATTTGATGGTTTAATTTAATTATAACTAATACTGTTTTACCAATAATAATTATAGAATGTAATGAAAGTCAAAGATTTTGTTTTAGAAAAACCCTATTAACAAAAATACAAAAGATATTTATTATAAAGTCAAATATGTTTGAAAAACTTTTCCAAACTTACACGGAACAAAATTGCATTATAAAATGCCTAGAAACAACCCTATGTGATGGGACAACTGTAAATTCAATATTTTAGTAAGTAAATTTTGTAAAATAATTACAATAATAATCCTCTTACATTTTTTTATCTGTCAAGTAACTGATGGAAGTTTAATAAATTTATGTAAATCAAAATTTAAATATTTAATTACAGTCATTATCTAATTCCGCTCATGAAATATTGATAAATTATTTCTTCGGCCTTAAACCAAATTTAAATTCTAATATTGTATTATTTTCTTTCTTTTAATAATTATTTTGCAAATGATGTGGTGGGCTTCACGCTGATGGTGTGGGCCCAGTAAATTAATGGGCCTATTTACAATTGGACCGAAATGTGTTGGTTTGGGCTATTTCTTTTTTTTTAATATTGGCAATACTATACCGTTTCTAAAAAAATATTACGATTAGATACGCTGTAATGCATAGTTAAATGACACATTGACCTTTAAATTTATGAGAGAATAAGTAGCAAAAAATATGTATTTATGATATAACATTAAATTTAAATTTTACAAAATTGATATAAATTATAAACTTACACGGTCAAAATTTGAAACGTAACCTTTTCTTTTAAACTCACTGATGCGGTCATTTTTTATTTTATTTGATATTTGTTATAAAAATAAATAAAAATATAAAGATAATAAAAATTAAAAAAAAAAACATAATTTTAAATTTCAAGTTATGAATTTAGAAAGAAAGGGAAGATGGAAATTAATTTAAAAAAATATATAGAATACCTTCCCTAAATTTCTCTATATTTCTCATATTCACTAACGGTCTCTCCTCCCCTTTTTTCTCTCATATCTCCTAATTCTACGTAACTTCTCCCTCTCTCCCAACCATATCTCAGTGGGTCACATTTTCCTTTTYTTCGCATTCTTTATTTCTTCCTCAAAATTCTCTCSGAACTTTATTCCTTATCCTCGTCAAGAGGGTTGAAGGAGTACTGATCTTCCGTTCTTTCTCTTCAAATTTTCTCTTATAAGAGAGGATTGATTTAATTTTGTGGGGGAGGAACAAAGAGAGGACAGATGAAGATCATACAAAAAATACAAGAGGAAATATGGGGAGGAAAGAGCACACAAAAACAGATAGATAAGAGATCTCTCCAGGTTTCCTTTTAACTAAATTTTCTTTTCTCAATTGGTGTATTGTCACTCTTCTAATTCAATTCCAGTTGAACTCAACATTCATTAGAAGTTTTGAATTTTCTTTACAKGTTTATTACTCTCCTTTCAAATCGGTGAAATGCATGCCATTATTTTCAATATTAAATAAGGGAGATTATTAAATTCTATTTTACATTATTGTTTGTATTTGATTTTGTTATGCATTGTAACTCGATTCTCTATAATATTAGTTTCATTTATTATTAGTATTGATTTGTATTTGGTTTTTCTATTAATTTTACAATATGTTTGGCTAGTGTGTCGTTCGTCCATATTATTAATTTGAATTTCGATTCTTTCTAGTTTTCAAAATTACAGACAATATGGAGAAACTAACCTRATGTGTTTTGTTTTAATTCCATAATTATCTTTCTAAGTTAGAAAATAAATTGAAAAAAAAAACAAATACTTTATTTGTAGAGGTTGTGCAGTGTTGCTTTTTGTGAAAATCTTATAAATACATGAATTTACTCACCAAATTTAATTACAAAATTTCAATAAACCAATTTGTTAATAAAAAATGAAAAAAATATGAGTAGTGTTCTCGTCAGTCTTCATTACCGAGAGAAAAAGTAGTGTTCTTATTATGATTTTTGTTGAATTTCATTAATTCAAGACAATAAAATAAATTAAAAATGAATTTTAAAAGTCACTCACAAATTTTTAAAAAGCCACAAATGGATTCAGCAGTATTCTTTTTTGGAATTTAATATTTCAAAAAGCCTTAAATACATGAATAACTGCTCCAAAAGATTCAACAAACGGATTTAGAAGATAAAATTTTGATTTGGTGTTGTAGGGTAACCCTACTTTTCTTTATCTTTATCTTACACACAAAAGACTTCCGAACTACATCCTCAAAATGATTGGTGACGACTCCAAAATTCTTGTCCTTGAATAGAGGACGTCGAGATCATGTCGTGAAAGCTTTGAAAAAACAAACAGTGAAAGAAAGGGAGAACATGGGCCAAAAAGTAACGAATATTTTTATAAATACATATTTGAAAAAGCATATATTTATAAAAACAAAAAGTAACATTTTTTTAATAACAATTAATGTTATTTCTATAATTACATACTTATTTTATTTGTTTTATGTAATTTAGTATACTAAAACGATTAATGGGATGAAAGAAAAAATGTGCCAAGATTTTGGGATAGGAGGGATTTTTAGTAACATGAATTTTTTAAGAAAGAAAAAAAAAACTGTTCAAATTATACTTTATTACAAAAAATAAAATAACCAAATTTCTCTTTTAGCTTGGAGTTCTATTAAGTGAAATTTGAAAGAAGAAATCCTAAAGTGAAAATCAAATTTCGGCATTAGGAGATGAAAATGTGAATGAAAAAAATAATTAAAAAAAAATAATAGAAAGACATAGCTTACCTATGGCTGGTGAGTTCAAATAAAATGTGAATGAGAAGAAATGAAAAAAAAAAATCTTATGGACAAAAATAAAAATCCTAAAATAAAAGAAAAAAGAATAAAAATACATCAATAAATATATTTGAAAAATATTTTCACATACTATAATTGTAAATATTTTCCTTTTAGAGTATATTCCTAATATTTACTTTATTATATTTATACGCAATTGGCATAAATTTAGTAAGTATTTACAATAGTGCCACTAATTTAAAAGGAATTTACAACCATGACCCATGACTCTAGTGGCATAAATTTACTTTATTAGATTTATACGCAATTGGCATAAATTTACCATGCCACGTTTTAAGAAGATTTAGGTTTATAAAACCAATGAGCAAAAGGGCATAATAGGTAATCTTAATATAAATTCGGTTTATAAAACCCCTTTCAAAATAGCCAAAAATGCAAAATTAAGAATATTTAGGTTAAAATTTCAGGAAAAAATAATGTCTCTTGACCAGCTAAATTAGTTGAGTTATATATATTTAGGTCAATAGGGGATAATTTCTACTTTTTTTTTTCACCGTTGAACAAGACTTTTTATTAGTATTTTGATTATCGGTAAATTATGTTGGAATTTTTTTTTGTTTGTTTAATTAAAAATCTAATTTCGAGTACTATGGTATGTTGAGCTCGTAGAGTTCTTTCACCAACTTAATTTTGTAGCTAAAGTTAGGACATTTTTACGATATATTTTTGTGTTTTATTTGTTGYGATTCTGGAAAAAATTTCATATCGTAGTTTTGACTCACATATTAATTTCACTACTTATTCAAATTTAAATTTTATGAAATTAATTTTGTTTGATTTCTATTTTTTATTTTTTACATGATGAGGCAGTAAAAAAGGGAGGGGGAGAAATTAACATTGYGGAAAATTTAGTCATTCCAAATAACATTCAACTGATTTTTTGTACAACGTCTTCATGCAAATATGGTTTCAGCCCTCAATTGCATGAAAATGCATGAGATTTTGGTTGTTAGTTTCAGAATAAAATTTTGGTCCTTTTTTATTCTTCATTTTTAGGGTTTCCTCCACACCCATCTTCCCTTGATCTGCTTGATYACCTTTCAAATTCAAGTAGCTGAAGAGATATGTTTGGGATCGTCATGGCAGAGGCGGTGGCAATGGTGGCGCTCGGGTGGTTGTTGTGTGGAGTTGAGGGTAGAGATCCGATGCTCCATAGGGTTGGAGGAGGAAAATACACTTGGGCGCCTAATGTTAACTTCACTGATTGGTCGATTCACGAGCACTTCTACGTTGGTGATTGGCTTTGTAAGTTTTTTAGTTTCTTTACTCTCTCTGAAACGGATCAAATTTGTTCTTACCCCTCTCATATGGACAATCCGAACATAGCTTAGTGAATAAGACACGTATTACYTTTCTTTAAGATGGATGTTACATATTTCGATCTTCTACGTACTCTGATCACAATACGGGTCAAATCTTTCTCTCTCTCAATTTTTATATAGGTCACATCTCTCTCACTGTTCAAAGATTGTATATATAAAGACTAGCAAGGCCTAGGGGGTGGAATTGGTCATTTTTCATATAAAATTAGGGTTAGAGAAGTCAAATATTTAGGTTTCCCATTTGTAAGGTCAATTCCTTTTACCTAATCAAATCATTTCCCATTTTGAATATATAATATTACGCAAYCATTGAACTCCAATATTTCTATAAACAGCGTATATACAGTTCAAAGATTTGAACTTTGAAGTCAATAAAAAAAAATCATCATTTGGCTCTCAAATATGTAGCTAGGCATATAATTTTTAAAGATCAATATACTTCATATAGTTTATTTTGGTAAAGATAAAAGATCGCGTTTCTCGATCCTAACGTGATGAAATYATATACTTATATGACGTTTTTCTTTTTTTTTACCTTTTTTATTTCTGGGTCTTTTCAGATTTTGGGTTCGATAAGCATATCTACAACGTGCTGGAAGTGAACGAGACGAGCTACGAGAGTTGCAACGAGAAGGATTTCATTTTCAACATCACAAGGGGAGGCAGAGATGTGTTCAATCTAACACAAGCAAAGCCATACTACTTTCTAAGTGGGAGAGGCTTTTGCTATCAAGGAATGAAACTTGCTGTTTTTGTTGAAGAATCTCCTCCAAATAATAATTCACCACCAAATCTCCCCAAAATGTCCAACCTCTCTCCATCTATATTACAACCACTATTTTCTCTCCCCCTCTTGCTATTCACCATTATTGCTAATTTTATTTCCTTCTTCTAAGATTTAGGGTTAATCTTGATTATATGTTGATTAGGGCTAGGTTTAGAATCCTAACTATAGTTTTGAGTTGYCAAAGTTGATGAAAATAAAAAGGATTATTAAAGCCGATTATGTCGGTAATTAGCTAGGGTTTAGGGTTTAGGGATACGGATAGGACTGTGTTGAAGTTTTTGAGCTTCTTGATTTGTTATAAATTTTTAAGTTTGTATTGTTCGAAACAGTGGAATAAAAGTATTTTTGATTACGATATTTGAATTTTTGTTTTATTGATGAAGATTATAAGATGTCGATTTATAGCTCGATCGATTTGCTGTGTGAAATGAGAATAAATTTCTTTAATGTGTGAAACTTAAATTACATGTTTGTGTTTGTTTATTTCTGGTATATATATACTAAATGTGATGAAATTTAATAAGGTTAAAAAAGTTTTTGGTCTCTCTACTTTGGCTAAAATAATAATTTAGTTCCTAAACTTTAGTTTGTAACAATTTAGTTTATGTACTTTCATATTAGTAACAATTTAATCCTTATAATTTAAAGTTGGTAATGATTTAGTCCTTATCRTGAAACTTTTTTATTAAGTTTCTTATATATATAGATTAGATAAACTAAAGAGAGACCAAATATGTTTATAACTAGAAAGATTAAATTGTTATATGATAAAATTTGACACTTAATTTTAAAAAATTCTTTTACTATAGGGACTAAATTGTTACAAWTTTTAAACTACAGGGACTAAATCGTTACAAATTAAAGTTTAGGGGACTAAATTGTTACTTTAGTGAAAGTATAAGGACTAAAACGTTACAGATTAAAGTTTAGGGACTAAATTATTATTTTAATAAAAATACAKAACTGAATGTGTTTTTAACCGATTAGTAAATAGATCGTATAATTTTATTATTTTCAAGAGTTACGTTCTTAGCCCATAGTTTTGAGAATTGAATTAAGTATTATTGCCATTAGGAAAGAAAATTTAAGTGACTTCATTTTATTGTTATTTTTAAAAAATAACACTAAAATAAGACCCATTGAAATCTATACATAGGTAGCTTATAGCTCTGTCAAATTGGTCTTTAATGTATTAAAAAACTTAATTAGGTCATTGTGGGAAAAAAAAGGTTAAATTTTGTTAAAAAGAAGTTGATATATCATTGAATTATTTATTTTAATGCTATTTGACATTTGAAATTCAACTTTCCCATCACTCAAATTCSATCCACCAATCAACAAAAATACTAACAAAACAAAAGTTTATTAACACGTAAACTTCCTATTGACATATTTTGAGAATTCTTTTTAATGAATTAATTAATTAAGAATTTCTAATATAGTAAAGGTAAAGTCAAAGACTCCAAAAAGATTTAAGACCAAGTGTTTGAGAAAATCTTAAATAATTAAGGATCATTAATTAGATATATATTTGGTGTAAACTTTATTATCGAATGTGTATTATGAAATTAATACTATTCGTCTCAGTTGAATTACTCAATAAATGAACTATAAACAAACTTCATAGGTCGTTCAAATTCAATAAATAATTACATGAAATTAAAATTTTACTATTACAATTTACTCCTCCTAAACTGCATTTTTATTATATTTATTTTAATTATGTAGAGGTGGAAGAACGAACCATCAATCTTAAAAATGAAAAATAGATATCTTATATATCGAGTTTTACTTAAATTAAAATTTTTTTATACACTTATGAACTATAGTTAGTTCATAGTTATATTGTTAACTCAACTAGTGAAGACGTATGTCTTCGACGGAAACATCAGAGAGGTTTAAATTTCGGCCATTGAATTAATTAAAATAAGGCGAGGATATAAATGTAAATTCGACCCAAGAAAAAGGTGAGAAAGTGGGTGTGGGGAAGTTAGAATATCATAAATTGGAAAGAAGCAAAGACCAAAAGTCCAAATTGGAATATTTCAATCCAACAAAAAGAGAGAGCGTCAGAGATAAAACAATAAAGTCAAAATTGTTGGGCTGGTGGAGTTGGTCAAATTGATTGAACCTATCCTTTCATTACGTTTGCCACATCGCTTTCAAWTTTCGATATCGTTTGGCTTATGTTAATTCGGAATGAATCAAATCTCYCCGAATAGATCTCCATAAACGAGACTCTTTTTGAGTAGAACAACTACCGTGATTCGTGCACGGTTAATTATTAGAAATCACCCCCGACTTCTTACTACTGCGCTAATTTTAGKGGATGAGTTAAAATAATATTTTAGTCTTTGTATTTTTAAAAATGATCATTTTGGTATCTAATTGCAAAATTTTTAACACAAATTCTACACATAGTAGAGATCATTTAATATAAAGTCATGGTCATATTTCAAAAAATATATTAAGTGCAGTGTTGTGTTGAAATCGTGATAGAATAAAGGAAATTAAAAAAGATTAAGAGACTAAAATGGTCAGTTTTTAAAAGTACATGGACCAAAACGAACATTTTGAAAAGTTAAAAGTACACAGAGATCAAAACAGTATTTTAACCTTCAAATTATCATTTAGTTGAACATTATTTTTAGTACAACACGTGAGTGTGGGAGAATTCGAACTCACAATCTTAAATGCCTTAACTCATTGAGCTATGCTTAGGGTGACTAGCTTGATTTTTTAAAAATATTATTAATAAAAAAACTATACACTTTATCATTTAACTTTTACATCAATTTCAATCATATATATTGGCTCAGTGACCAATAAAAACGCGAGTTTAAATATAAAAATATTTATATGGAATGAGTTCGAGTTATGATTTACTATATAAGGGTTATATATCCTATAAGTTACTTTGACAATTAAACGTAATAGAATTATTTCAGATCGATAGGATTAGAGCTAGATTGGATAATTACAAATTAAAATAAAAAACTTTTATGTCTATTTTATTTTGGTCCTTAAAGATATCAAAATATCTATTTTATTCCTATAGTTTTCTTGAAATAACAATTTATGCCATGTCTTATTTTACCATTATCTTCCTTTCTTTCTTCCCTCGTTTTTCCGTGGATGTTTCAATTTTGTTTACTATTATTTTAAAAAGCCTTTTTAGAAACAAATTTATTAAAACATGTTTTAGTTTTTTTTTTTAAATTATTGTAGATTGTTTTTTTTTCTCTTTTTTATGAAGTGACATATTTTATTTTAAATGGTTATTTCTTCCAACACCACGAACTTATAGATAAAATTTTAATATATAATAAYTTCGTATTTCATAAGTTGATTATTAAATAGAAAATTATCCAMATATTTTATAAATCTTGCAAATTTAAAGGTTTAGTTTTCAAAATATATATTTTTTAATTTTTTATTTCAACTTTCTTAAAAGACATGATTAGAACATTTTGTAAATATGACCACACAATTCTTCCACTTTGCAAATTTATAATTTTTAAAATACATCAACTCTGGTTCTATGGTAACCATTTGTTTTTTGTTATTTGTTTTTAAAAATTATGTTTATTTTCTTACCATTTCTTAGGTACGTCATCCACCTTTCTTAAAACTATCTATTTTTTTATTTTTAGTTTTTAAAACTATGTCTAAGTTTTGAAAATCTACTTAACAGGTGGGTGTGAGGATTCGAACTCACAACTTCACGATTCAAGTTGATAATTTAAAAAATGTTCTTAACAAATATATAACAAAACGGAGAAGTATATCATATTCATAGACTTAATTTTCAAAAAAAAAAAAGTTACTAAAGAACTTGATAAAAGCACACTAAGGAAAACAAAACAAAAAAATAAGGATCTAAATATATTTAAAAAAAAGAAATAAAAACGTAAAAAAGGAAACAATTTCAAGATAAGAATATTCCCATTTGTGTTTTGGATTAGCGGAGAAACCACTACAATTTTGCATTAAATTATTGGTATTTGAATGGATTTTTATATTATTTACTTTTTGACCCGAATGGGAGAGAGAGAGAGAAAGATGGGACAATTAAAATAATTACCAAATGACAAAATACTTTAAATCTCTTGACTTTACAAATTCCAAAAGCTAGTGCTTTTGTCCTTTCCTATTTACACTTTTTATTTTTCAACTCTCCATATTTATTTATTTATTTTATATTTAAGTAAATAACATAACTCAAATATATATATTTTTAAGTCTGACAAAAATTTGAATTTTAACAAAAATATAATAATCCAAAACTCAAATTCAAAAGGTAATAATAAAAGACAAGAAAAGGTTACATTTATACTATGTTTAAAAAAATTGTAACATTTTTTTATCATATATATTAAATTCATGCTTAAAATCTCACTTTTAATTTATACAAATATATTTCTAGATATCTAGAAGGGAAGGGAAGGGAAGAGAATTTATTTTATTTAAATTAAATTGAATAATCATAATTGTATCCAACAAATTAATTTATTTAATACTCTGACCAGGTTTGGGTGTCCATAAATGTTACAGAGACATTATTTTTGCCTATTAAATGATATGTTATTTTTGCTAAATGACTGAACATATTAATTAATTATTGAATTTTACATTATTTTTCCATTTTCTCTCTAATATTTATGAAATTTAATTTTACCTATAAAGTGTACATTTTTTTTTTGATAAAAAAAAACAACATTGCATTAAAAAAATAAACCACTAAGGGTTACTATAAAGTGTACAACATTTTTAATTAAGCTACTTCGGTATCATTCTTGAAATGAAACAAAATAATATGGAGCCAACATAAGTTTAGCTTAATGGTAATTGACACTTGTATTTGATTAAAATGTTATGGATTCGAATCTCTCACCCTAGCATGTGCATTCAAATTGATAAATTACACTCTTAAAAATTACGATGGAAATAAATGAAATAAAAATGAAAATAAAGAGACTGAAATTGTAATTTTTTAAAAGTACATGGATTAAAATAGACCTATTTGAATTAAAATGTACAAAAGTTGGAAGTAAATAGATAATAATAAATATTAATGAGGAAAAAAGGGAAAAAAAAAGGAGTAATAAAGAAAAAAAAGGAGAATCTCAAGAAACTCACTCACGTTTTCTTTACGTTGTCATTCCCAAAGCCTGAACCCGAACTTCCCTCGTTTCCGTTCTCTCTCTCTCTCTGCTTTCCTTTCGATCCAAATTCTCAAAAACCACACAAATTTTTCAACCAATTTACGAAATTGAAGGGTTTTTCGCCGCCGGGAAGAGGATTTTCCGAGCCGATCCAGTGTCAGGCTTAGCCATGGTGGCGACTTGGTTCTGGATTTCGAGCTTCTTCTTTCTGCTTTTGGTAGCCCTAAGTTCTGTTCTTCAGGTAGCGCACGCCAACTCCGAAGGGGACGCGCTCTACACTCTCCGCCGGAGCTTGTCCGATCCTGATAACGTGCTCCAGAGTTGGGATCCTACTCTTGTTAATCCCTGTACTTGGTTCCACATCACATGTAACCAGGACAACCGCGTTACCCGAGTGTACGCTCTCTGTTCCTTTGTGTTCACTATTTGATTAGTTTTTGTAATGGTTTTCTTTATCTTCTTTATTTAGAATACCAGAAATTTTGTTATGCTTTTGGTCGGTACCGTCTCTTTTGTGACGCGATTTGTGAGGATTATTTCGTTCTTATTATCTTCTCTTCTGAACTAGTATCATCGATTATGTTGTGAATTTGGTTGATCGTTGTATTTTATTATTAGTCTATGAGGACAACGTCAATTTAACTCTGCTGCTTAAAGACGAACGATAATTTGTAGACGGAAGTGCGAATCCACTCGTCTGGCTATTTGTTTGATGGACGCTTGATTGTAAAGGATTAGGTGCCATCCAGTGTGGTCTTGGAGTCTTATTTAGGACATCTCTCCTTACTAGTCTACAAGCCTGTGTTGTTTTGGTTTGATGTTGGCAGCTGATCAAACGATTGATTTATTTTGCAGGGACTTAGGCAATTCAAACTTGTCCGGACATCTGGTTCCTGAACTTGGAAGGCTCGAGCATCTGCAATATTTGTATGTTCTTTAATCACAATATTTATCTTTTCCTTGGTCACTGATTGGATGCAGATTTTTGGTTGTATAATGTGATTACTACCTATGTTCTTCGAATTAAATAATTTGTTAACAGTCGTATAGGAGTTGTTTAAATTCTTCCTGGAAAAAGTTTCTTGAAAAAAAAATTCAAAATCCATGGTAAAAACTAGTAGGATTCGAASTAGTAGATTATTCAACTAGCTGAAATTAAGTACAATACGACCTAGGGGAACCAAACAGCTCCTCTATCTCTCCCAAACTGCTTCCGAGTTCTCCTAACTCTTATACGTGGTATTTACAACCATACACAACTATTTTCAACAACCCCCCACACGCACTACCACATAAAATTTTTCGCCCCCAATTCTGTTACTACACCCTTTCTTATATCTTCTCGAGTAAGTGTATCTGAGGGGAGGCCTATCACGAATGCACAACTTGTATTTTGAAACTCTCCACTTCCTTCAATAGTCCTTGTGTTAAAAAAAAGCGTTGGTATGAAAATCTAGTTGATGTGTTAAATGTTTATGACTTTATGTGCGTGGGTTCTATACTTATTCTGATTTTGTACTCATTGYTGGTTTTTTGTACTCTGCTGCCACTAACTATGTAGGGAGCTTTATAAAAACAGCATCCATGGAACCATTCCAGATGAGCTTGGAAACTTGAAGAGCCTCATCAGTTTGGACTTGTATAACAACAACATCACTGGAAGAATTCCACTTTCATTGGGGAAATTGAAATCTCTTGTGTTCTTGTGAGTTCCATTTTACATTACTCATTCTTGTTTCGCTTGGTTGTGTTGGTTTAGAAGTTCTAATTTTCTTTCTAACTCCAACTTGTATGTACGAACAGTTTTGATAGTTGATGGCAAGTTCATGATTTAAAGGAAAGTCTTGTTCTTATAATTAACTCTACAATATTATAAATAAAAAGTTTCCTTCTATCCATGATTTAGAGAACAAACTTTTTCTGCTTCAGCTTGGTAGTTGATGATTGCAATATGAAACCACTGGCTATTAATTTTCTGTTTCTGAAGAGGAAGTAATCTGAATGAATGCTTTCCCCAGTGATCCCTTCTTTTTGTAAAACCTTTTTTCTGAATTTCTATTTTGTTTTGCAGACGGCTCAATGACAACCGATTAAATGGACCAGTCCCAAGAGAACTTACTGGAATTACAAGCCTTAAAGTTGTGTAAGTATTTGTATATTTACACCGTTTTGTAGTAGTAGCCATTTAAATGATATACTTCCATGGTTCAAATTTGTGCCTTGTCATATGGTTGATTTATGATGGCTTGTGTCTCCTTTGTTTCAGGGACGTCTCAAATAATGACTTGTGTGGAACAATACCAACCAATGGACCATTTGAGCACATACCTTTAAGCAAGTAGGCTTCTTAATTTCTTTCTTATTCTTCGAGTTGCTTCTCCCTCCCCCATTTCTATTCCCTTTCTATCCCATATTTTTAACTGCATTTAAGCGCAAATAGCTCTTGCCTACACCAACTTAAGGGAAGGGAGAATAAAACTTTTACTTTGTGTTTTCAACATAATACGTGACCTTATTTCGCTCCTTGTATTTCTGTGCTTGGATAAAACTTATTGTCTGAAATTAATGGCGCCATTAGAGATAGATCCTTCCTCACCCAATGAAGCTAAGAAAATGAAAATGGATGTAGTAAGGGACACTTCAAGAGGCCTCTCTTGGTTCTTACAAAGAAATTTGATGCCTGAACCCAAAAGTAGAAAAAGCTTACCCCACCAGCACCATCTTTCTGAGACATCCTCTAACTAATCACTGTTCCTCCGAACTACCCTATGCCTAACCACACAACAGATAACCATGACCCACTGCTCTTATTACKGTTCTACCCTTCTCTCACACAACCCACTCCTCTAACCGTTCAGCTCTCCACTCTCGAGCTTCTAATGGGTTGGTTGGATTGGCATAAATCTCACTATTAGGCCTACCACTCATATGATTGGAAGTAATATAAGAGTTGGAGACTTTTGAATCTGTGATGGAAGGCTGAATAATTAAGACTAAACCTTTGATCGAGTCCATGCGCACATTCYGTTGTAGCTTTGTTAATATTCTTGTTTACTCTTTTCTTTGAGGTCTGTGATGGACAAGAATTTCGATTCTCGTGGTTTTGACAAGGCCACCTTAGTAATTTCCTCCAAGTCCAAATTGCTTCAGGCCATTCATTATATGTTGTTATTCTTGTTTATTGGTGCAGCTTTGAGAACAACCCTAGAATGGAAGGACCAGAATTGTTGGGACTTGCTAGCTATGACACAAATTGCACATAGAAGCCAAGGTGATGCTACAAAATTACAGCAGGTAATGGTATGGTATTCGGGAAGGTAAAGTAAAAGTGTTGTTTTCACTCTATAGTGAATTGGGAAATACTAAAATCTAAAATGACAAAATTAGTGTTTGTAAATTGTAAAATACCAAATGCTTTGGTATTTGTAACTCAAAACTCTACTTTTCTGCTGCCACGACATGAATTTGTGCTAATGTAATTCTACCAACTGCTTTACTCGTCTCTTCATCTTCTTGTTATTATTATTATCATTAATTTTTTTTTTTGTAATTAGTCCTTAG